GTTCTAGATCCTTGAGGAATTGCCACACTGTCTTCCACAATGGTTGAACTAATTTGCACTCCCACCTACAGTGTAAAAGCGTTCCTATTTGTCCACATCCTCTCCCGCATCTGTTGTTCCCTGATTTTTTAATGATCGCCATTCTAACTGGCATGAGATGATCTCTCATTGTGGTTCTGATAAGGATACAAAATCAATGTGCAAAAATCACAAGTATTTCTATACACTAATAACAGACAAATAGCCAAATCTTGAGTGAACTCCCATTCACAATTGCTGCAAAGATAATAAAATACCTAGGAATCAAACTTACAAGGGATGTGAAGGATCTCTTCAAGGAGAACTACAAACCACTGCTCAACAAAATAAAAGAGGACACAAACAAATGGAAGAACATTCCATTCTCATGGATAGGAAGAATCAATATCATGAAAATCCCATACTGCCCAAGGTAATTTCCAGATTCAATGCCATCCCCATCAAGCTACCCATGACTTTCTTCACAGAATTGGAACAAACTACTCTAAAGTTCATATGGAACCAAAAAAGAGCCTGCATAGCCAACACAATCCTACATTGAGATTTTAAATATATAAGTTTGCCTCCTTTACCATGGAGAATCTGATGCTATTAATGTAAGATTGGGAAGTTATTTTGAATTCTACAAATTACTTTAAAAGTGTTATAGCTCAAATTATCATCTAACTAAATCAAAACAGGGTTTTGTAGGATATGCTGTATTTTAAGACAGACAATTTCCACAACAATAAATATCTAGAACAACAAACTCTCACGGAAGAAAATTAGACATGTGCTCTGTGCTATTCGTAATAGTAACTCCTCCAACTCTCCAATATCGTGGTCAATTGAGATGCCCAGAGAATCACCCAGACCTTACTTATTTCCATGGTACATTTGAGATGAGTTGTATGCAGAATTATCCTGAGTAAAATGAACACCTAAAATTAATAACTGATATAAAAGTACTAGTTTATGAATTGCAAACAGCCTGCTCCTCTGTAGGCTAAATTGAATAATACCATCGTAGAAAAATTTTACTTAGATACTTTGTATTAACAATTCTTGATGTATGCAATGTCTAAGCCTATTTTTCTGATAGAAAATAATCTCACTGAAGCTCCTGGAATGCTTTCACAGATTTTTTTTCCAGGGTAAGGATATCTCTGAGGATCAAAATCCCCTAGCTTAGCCATTTGTGCCAAATAATTAATGTCTTCTGATCCTTGGTAAAGAATTAGTTCCATTTGGTGGCTTAGGGAATCCAAAAATAATTAATCCAAATAATATTATTTGTCTTAATATGAAGCTGTCTGATCTCATAACATAATACAGCTGGGGAAAATAGAATTGTTTATTTGCCATGGTGATTGGTTGCGGGGGACAGTAAATATGTTAACATGTAGCAAACATAGATTTTTTCTTTATTCCTGCAGTACTTGAAATGCAGGAAATGAATGTGCTTTAAAATAAATTATCTTATTGTTCATTAAGCTGTGAAGTCAGAAAGACATGTAGTTATTATTCTAAATTAGATACCTGGTGTGCCAATTCAGAAGACTCCACTGGTTTTTAGTATTCTTTGATTAACACATTTAATCAGAGTTTCAGAAATGTTGAGAAATATTTTCTAAGAAATTTGCTTTTCACATTATATAGAAGCTTCAGTGTGTTTCAAATGTCTTTGTAAGACATTTTATATAATTTATTTATAGATATATCCTAAGTCAACTCAAGCGACTTACTTGTTCAATCATTATGCTAGAAAAGTGGAACTAGAAATTAGCAATTTTTAACCTAAGCTAAATTTCATGCAATTGCATTTAAATGTTTAAGAGTATGTTTTGAAAATTCCTATTATAGAGATTAATATTTCTATTCATTTATAATAAGAAATAAAATAATTTATATGGGAGCACTAAGCCAGAAGATGTAAGGTCCATATATTGCCTTAATTCCTTTGTTTATTTACTTTTTAATTTATGTGACACCTAGGATAGATTTCTTTCAGTAACTCCAAATTTGTTATAATTTACTCAGGGCCTGGCTACATTATTAATATTATATGATAATATTGTCAATAGTGTGTTGATATTTTAATATTGAATATAATATCATTAGTATTAACATGCCTTCTTTCTTGACTCCTATGAGACTTTTACAGATGCACAGTCAACTAGTTTTCCAACCTTCAGTGTAAGTCTGGAAATACAGTATGTCTTTAATAAAGTATTTATGGAACTGAATTGTTCGAGATAGGTAATAAAGGAGACCTTTCTCTCAAGAATTTCAAAATTCCACAAATGCTCAAGTAATTAAATCAAAGAGAATAAACAAACATAATAAAACAGGTTTGGTTTCACAGCATGGCCATTATTGTGTCTAATCTTTGGCAAGGGGACAGTCAAGACTCCAGGTACTCTAAGCAAGCCACATTGTGCCAGCAGTACCCATGAAATGGAAAGTTCCTCCATCCTAATTCATTCTACTTAGAATGAAGTTGCCCACCAACTGTTGAAATGCTCAGGGACCCTACAGAGATCTCTTCAAAGTTTTTTTATTATTATTATTTTGTAATTTTTAAGCTTCCCTGAATATATAGTGATTCTTGAATATCAAAGTAACTGTTATAATTGAAAGATGACACTCTGGATATGTAACTTATTTGAGAAGACAAATAAGGCAAAGGGAGTAAGTTATTTAGTGCCATAAGCACCAGACACTACCTCATTAATTTCCAATACTCCATTTGAGGAAGCAAACAGGATTCAGGATAGAAGTAAATTACTGATCCATTAAAATGTTTAACTCAATATTAAAATAGAAAGAAATGTCTGTATATTATGTACACATTCCTGGAACTTAGCGCCTGATGATTTGCTATTCATTTGGAATTCTAATTCTTGTATAGTCATTTTTATACTTATTCTTTTAACCAAAAATATATATTGAGGAAGAAAAGACATGCCTATGAGTTTTAAATGATCTGATTAAATTTGTTCTGTATTAGTGAATGTCATGCGTTTGCTTTTTATATTATTCATCTGAAATGTATACAGTAGTATATGCCTTTTCAAAGATGATTTAGAAACCAGAACTGTTTATAATTCCATTATGTGAATTTCTCCATTATCAAATGCCCATTTATAGAAATTTCTTTTCAGAGATAATTGAACCTAACTCTGATATGTGACATTTTCATTTCTGAGATGATATAACCTTTATCCTTTACACTAAGGTAGGTTGAATGTGATATATGTGACAGCCTTATTTCTTATCTGAGATAAAATAGAAAAGTACAAGTTCAATTTCTAGGTGACTGTGTATTAAAGAATATTGCACTCTGTTGGGGAGCAGAGAAATTAGTTATTGAATACAATAAAAAAAGGCCCATCTGGCCTTGTTTTTTGAATTTTGGTGCACATGTTAACAAGTGAAAGTTTTACTAAAAGCAGATAGTATAAAATAAATTTTAACTACAGATAAGCTGAAATTAACATTTTTAAAAGTTCTTACTAACAGAGGTAATTTCAGGTTTGGGGATATTCCCTTTAAAAAATAATAAAGAATTTAAGTTACCCAAATTAAATATGAGTGTGACTATTTGTAATGAAACGATGTATCATGAAAAATTATACATTTTTTAAAGTTTTACAAATACCATGAACCTCATGAAATCAATAAAAATAATATATTTGTTTTACTTAATAAGTTTACATATTTTTAAAAGATTTTTTGCTATTTTAATTAAATGTTATTAGACGTATTATTTTCCAAGTAGAGGAAAAAAGCATAGCTTATATTGTCATCCAGAATAATTGATCAAACTGTATTTTTTCTTAGTAAATCAGAAAATTGTTTTTAAATAACACTTTATTAGTAATTGAATACAAATTGCTAAGATTTATGCAAATTTAAAAAATATTCTCCAAAGCTGTTTTCATATGTGTAATATTTGTAAAGTTTTCCATAGCCTACTTTTTGACCTCCTCTATTTCAAGCCTCATTGCTCTTTCACAAACTTCCATCTTTATTCCTGTGTAGTAACATTAGCGATTTTATATTTTGCTGAATAGTAAAAACTAACTTGTCCGAAATTCATCCTCTATAGATTCAACTTCAAGGAAAGGGAACGGTTACTTATAGTGCTCCAAGAAAATCATCTAGTCCTTGTCAAACATGACACATTGATGCTGGTACGTCCATCCCACACTTTATATCCAATTACACCAGAAGATGGAGAGAGGTAGTAAATTCTACCACTACTATGTCAGGTTGTCCACAAGGCTCCAACCCCTGAGCACAACATGAGAAGGGTGGTGCTATTGCCCACCACAACAGTAAGTTATCAGGACACAGGTCAGACCATATTGTTCTTATATCCATAACCTGCACTCAACAGGTAGAATGGTGATGATTTCCGTGTCTGATTTGCTGGATTTTTATGGTAAAGCCAAGAGTAGGTCACCTGCTACTGATTCTATGTCCATAGTTTCTCTAGTGAACACCACTCCAGGTGGCCAAGTGTTTGTGTGTGCTGCTTGGCCATCTGTCCTTGTTGGCACAATATTCACTGAGAAACTAATAATAAAGGACACCCTTTGTTGTCATACAGTTGATTATTCAACAAGTTATGAAAGATACGTTGTTCATTTTTCATGTCTTCTTTTTAGATCCTGCCTATTAATTTAACATTGTCTTGGATGGCTTGAAAATAGAGCAAATCCTTCAAAGTTAGTAGTAAATCACAGTTTTGCATACAAAATAAACTTTGTTTTATGAGGAGTCCATTATTTTTGTAAAAAATATTATAATCTGAAGTAATTGTTAGGTAATTTTTTTTTCAGCCCAGAGGTCTTTTGTTTTATTATTTTATTTTTTTTAACACCTAGTATGCCATGAATTCATAGGGAATAGGTTCCAGCAGCTCAGGCTTCTTCCCATTGGTTCTCACAAAGTGTGCTTCTCTGGGTGGAGCAGGCTGGCACTTCAGTTGAACCCAGGTACCTTTCTCTTCAGCTTCTTTCTTTATCTGATCATTTTCCTTCACGTGTTTCAGGAAGCTGTCTCGGCTCTTAGAGTGCCTAATGTGCTCAATACCCACATTAATTCTCTTGGCAAGAATCTTGCCCTTAACTTTTTTGTTTACAACAATGCCAACAGCATGCTGGGTAACAATGTAGACTCTTCCAGTTTTGCTATGGTAACACTTGTGGGGCATTCCTTTTTGAACAGTACCCATTCCCTTGATGTCTACGATATCACCTTTCTTATAGATTCGCATATATGTGGCCAAAGGAACAGAACATATATCGGGTGCCTCTCCTCTTTCCCTTTGTGTTCATCATTTTGGCGAATTACTGGAAGATGGCAGTTCCGGCCCGTTAGGTAATATTTTTTAAGTAAATATTGACTCCCAAATGAACTGTTTCGACCAGGGAAGGGATTCAAATATTATTATTTCTCGGGCACCCATGATAGATACAGTACTTATAAACAAATTTCCTGCTTTCTTGAACTTAAATTTCCTGGAGGGATACAGAAATTAAATAAACATACAATATATTTTGATGTAAAGATAAACGAAGCAGTAAATGGAAGAATAGGTTAGACCAGTTAGCGAAGGTTTTATGAACTGATGATAATACTGAAGGTAACGTTCATGTTTTAAGGTGAATGATCAAATGGTAAATATAAAATTAACAGTTCCAGTTAAAGTTGCTAGTTTTTCCACTGGCAAAGATAGTGTTTCATGAAGTAAACTCTGTTTCCCTAAATTGATTTTAATTGCATATTCAAATCAGCAGCTTTCAAATATAGAAATGTATTTTGGGAAAATACCTTTAACATCAAGAATAGAAAGTATAATTGAATATATGATTTCTTACTATACACACAGCATTTCCATAAAAATTCTAATGTAATTTTAAAATATCTGTAAAAGAAAAAGTGAAAATATCAAAATGATCTTAGAAGGAATTTTCAAGTCTGTAATAGAAGAGTTCTATTATTTGGTCTTTTTCTGTTTTATTTCAAAGTGGCTTAATGCATTCAACTAGTTTCTGGATACTCTATGTCTTTCTCATATCATTACTCTACAGCTACTGCTGAGAAGTAGCATTACAATATCAGCTTGCACTGAGAGGCTATTCACACCACTGGAAACTATGAAAATTTGGAATTAGTGACAGGTGTTTCTAAAAACTCTTTTGAATTGCCATGTTTACTTATTTGGTAATGTTTTCCAAAGACAGTGCCCTTAGTTTTCATAATATATTAAAATAAGTATTAAATGCTTTGTTAGACCCATGCTATCCACTGAAATACAATCTACCAAATGCTAATATCCATTAACATTGGGGAATGAGTATGGGAAAATACGTTTCTAATGTGCACGAAAAATACAATCTTAGGGCCCCACAGTTGCTATGCCAAAGGGAAAGTTAAGTCTGAGAGATGAGTCACCAATACTTCTTACTTTTGTTCCCAGATAGCTGTCATTTCACCTGCTTATTTCATCTTATGTAAAATGTAGATTTATTGGGCGTGAGACAATGCTTAATTGACTTTTTTTTCTACTCCCTCTTTTAACATATTTACTTTATCTTAGGTAATATGTAACTTTACTTAGCAGGAGACAATGCATAATTGACCTTTTCTTCTACTCTGCTTTTTCATGTGTAGATTTAATGAGGCTAAGCAGGGTCTCACAAGAATGTAACCATTTGTTTCACTGCCTACCCTCCCTCTGTTTTTCTTCCCTCCTGCTTGCTCTTTCTCCTTTAAATGCTGAAGTTCCCACAACCTGCTTTGGAAAAAGCACAGGTCACAGACACCCCTGTGATATGGTTTGGCTGTGTCCCCACGCAAATCTCATCTGGATTCCCACATGTTTCGGGAGGGACTTGGTGGAGGTAATTGAATGATAGGGGCAGGTCTTTCTCATGCTGTTCTTGTGATAGTGAATAATTCTCATGAGATCTGATGGCTTTATAAGGCAGAGTTTTCCTGCACAAATTCTCTTTTTGCCTGCTGCCATCCACTTAAGATGTGACTTGCTCCTCCTTGCCTTCCACCATGATTGTGAGGCTTCCCCAGCCACGAGGAACTGTAAGTCCATTAAACCTATTTCCTTTTGAATCTGCCCAGCCTTGGGTATGTCTTTATTAGCAGCGTGAAAATGGACTAATACACCTTGTGATTTGTGCTTTTTTTTTTCCCCCAGGGGTGTTCTCAACATTAGCTAAATAAACCTCTAATTGCTTGAGACTTGCTGCAGACACTTTCTGTTTTACACTAGTAAGTTGAAATTGCAATTTCAGAAATGAGATGGTCTGAGAAAATAGTGATGCTGTTAACTTAGTAATTGGCACAAAAGGATTTTTTTTTTGGTAATATATACATACTAAAACTCAGCTTTTAATATTATGATTCACTTACATCAAAAACAGGTAGTACCTAATGGTTCAGAAATACGTCACTTACATGTACTTGCTTGGGTTTACATTATTAATTTCATGTTTTTATATATCTATTATAGAAGAAAGGAAATAGCAATAATTATAACTGAAGAAGAGTAATTCTTAGAAGAAACTGTTTACTTACCAAAAAGTTGTTTTCTCTAAAAAAGTGAATTTGGGCAATGTAAGGAATATCAATCTATTTAAATGCCCCTAGTAAGTGATAAAAGAAGACAACACCACAGTGAAGTCTATGGTCTTAAATAAACAGAATATAAAAGCATGGCCAGTGATGTACATCCAGAGTCACTGATAAGATTATTACAACCTCAGATCACAAACATATCTAAAGTCTTACTTCACCCAGAATTATAGTACTTTATTAGGTTGGTGTAAAAGTCGTTGTAGTTTTTGCCATTAAAAGTAATGACAACAATTTATATATTGCCCAATATCAATGGAAAATTTCTGAAAAGTGAGAAGAGTTTGTAAGCCACTCAAATTTCATAAATGCAGCATTATTCAAGTAAGGGTGTTGCTACATATATAATAATTATCTGAAATTTGTGAATTTTGTAGATAACATTGTAGAATGATTAGTATGTAAAAAGCGTAGCAGAATCTCACAACAAGCAATGCTTACTTATTTAATTGTGGCATTTCAGTGTCCCATAAATCAAAAGATAAGCCTTCAGTGTTCCTGAGATCATGAAGTTTGTCAAGTGAGTAAATTGAATTAGCATGATCAACATGCATGGTCCAGAAGTTACACATTTCAGCTTAGATATTAAATTCGAATGGGTCAGATCAGCGTCAACTTATAATTTTACAGATTCATAGATTCAACTACAGGAAGAAAAACCTTGACAGACTATGCAGTTCAAAACTGATTAGGATAATATTTAGGAAGTCTCACAGAAGTTCTTAGGATCTGACATCAAGTGTGCATGAGTACTTACCTCCAGGACAAAGAGATTTTTAATTGATTTTGAAAATTAGAAAATTAGACATATATTTGTGACCTTATGGTCTGTCCATTTTTCTGTGATGCTTGGTTTTGTTGAAGGAAGTATTGGCTTTTTGACCTAGACCAACCTTCTTATATTTCATCATATGCTTGTCAGAAAAAATTTGTCAGGCTCTGCAACTGTTTATCTTTCTCTCAGGCTGTATTGCAGATGCTCTAATTCCCTGGGAGAATATGTATTCATTTCTTTTTTGCTATCAATCTATGTCTAATAAATGCTATCTTTCTAGAAGATGCTATGCTGGGCATTTTGTGACTTTCACTTAGCATGAAACATTGTAATGCACTGTTCAGGACAGTATTCCTTTGCATACCCTGGCAGAAATATTATTTTCAGTTCTAAGTATGCTAGATTCCTTAATAAAAAACTTTTTAAAGCAGTGTGTTTAAATTAGAGTAAGATAAGCTGTTTAAATGCTTAATATGTAAGAAACAAACTTTGGACTTAAAAGAAAACCTTGAAGTAAATTGAAATTTTATTTTAAGTGTTTTTTTTTAGCAAGGCAAAATGGATTTGATTGACTAGTCCTACATTTCACAGTGAATACCTTAGGGACATGAATTCGTTTATTGCTTGTGAGATTTTATTTTTACTTTCTGACAGCTCTCACTCCCTTGCTTTTCAAAGCTACAATTAAGACTCATTTCTATTAGCACACATGTCCTCTTGTCAGCCTTGTATTTTACTTTTCCCATATATATGATTTATCTAGTAATAAACTGCTACAAAGACTGGCATGAACATCTGTATGTCTGAATATATTGGTCAGTTGATTTATTATTATCCTACTGTACTAATGATCAAATGGATTATGTGCGGAACCAAGTTAAAACAGTTTCTGGCCAGCCATCCTTTCACATGATATTTTTATGAAAAGCTTCCCTCTTTATGGTGGCCGTAAATGTATATGAAGTGGTCTATGAGCTGGCCCTTGACTGATTATACTAGCATTCTTTCCTTTAAAAAATATTCAAATGCATATAATTAATATCTACTGCATTTCAACCCCATCATTGGAAAGGTCTCTAGTCTGGTACAAAACAGAAATGACTTTAAAAAAAATGGTTCCAGTGCTTTGATGGTTGATAAAGAATAATTCAAGGACTAACTTCAAAATACAGTTACAAACTCCTCAAACTCAGAATTTCACATTAGCACCAAAATTTAAATGACACTTTTTCCCTCCAAAAGAACTCAAGCAGTTTTTACAAAGATTATAGAGGTGAGTCTTATTCAAACTCCCAGGATCTCTGTAGATATGAGTTTTCTTATTATTCCTATTTTGCAGGTAGTTGAGTTTGTTGTAGCTTGGATGGTTAAATAAAGTCTTACAGGTATCTTAGGAATATTTAAGAAATAGTTATATAATGGAGTTTAGTTTTTCAAGCCTCAGTTTTGCCTTTCCTCTACACTTCTTATTTCTTTTTGAGGAATTGAGTAGGTCTGGTTGCAAAGACATTAAAAAATAGGATGTTTCTATTACAATACAGATTTCCTGATTGTGATGTATTGTTTAACCTTATTCAGTAAAATGCAACATCTTATGGGACTTCTGTGAAACAAGTATCTGTGCCAAGAATAGTTTTTAGAAAAAAAGTAAAAAGTAAGAATAAAACAAAATGAAAACAGATTTGAAAGCTAGTGTCACAGCCTGGATGTAGAAAATTAAAAGTCAGCTCCTTTCATTGGTAAAGAAAAATAGCAATTTATCTTACCATGAATTGAATAGTCCAGAAGGTTGGCTTCCAAATAGTGGGATTATAAATCTTAGCAAAATAGTCACAGAAACTGAAAGGGACCACAAATGACTTAAATGTCATTTATATATAGTTTGTGACTCCTGTGAACTCTAATTAAAGATGCAGACAGCCTCTCGGACACAAGTGGCTTTTTAGTAACTTTACATATTTGAATTCACCTCTTTGACAAAGATAGACAATCAGTTAGTATGGTGATGAGCAATGTTTATCCAGTTCTCCATCTGTATTACTCTATACAAATAATTCCATGAAGAAATAGAGTAGTTAGAGGTGGAGCGAAGCAATCTTGGGCTGCAATGACACTAGAAGACTAGTCTGCTCCAGCTTCTAATTTCAAGGAGATAAAATAATAATAATAATAAAAGTATTACCTGAGGAAGATATGTAGCAATTTGAAGTCACTAATTTTAAACTGAGCCTTTAGTAAAAATAGTTTTACTTTTTCCACCTAACTGATATGGTTTGGATCTATGTCCCCACCCAAATCTCATGTTCAATTATGATTACTAATGTTGGAGGTGAGGCTTGATGGGATGTGACTGGGACTTGAGGGTGGATCCATTCGGTTTAGCACCATCCCCTTGGCGCTGTTCTCATAATAGAGTTCTTATGAGATCTGGTTGTTTTAAAGTGTGTGGCACTTCTCTGTCTCTCTCTTAGTCCCGACCCTCTCATGTAGATGCCTATTCCTGCTTTGCCTTTTGCCATGAGTAAAATACCCCTGAAGCCTCCCCAGAAACAGATGCTGCCACACTTGCTGTACAGCTTGTGGAACCATGAGCCAATTAAACCTCTTTGTTTATAAATTATCCAGTCTTAGGTATTTATAGCAGTGCAAGAATGGATTAGTACACTAATGGAGGGATTCTTACTTATATAACTTTTGAGTGAGAGAGATAACTCACTTGTGTACTTACAAAGTTAAAATATTTTTCGCAGTTTTTAAAATAGTGTGTAAAGGTATATAAAAATGATTAAAATTTAAGACAAAAATAAAATAATTTTAGTTAACCAAACCAAATTCAAAAACATATATTTGGAAATAATACCAGTTTTTACTTTGTTTTGTTCTTTGCTTTATTCCCAGAATACAGAAGAGGCACATATTCAATATATTTTTGTGAATGAAAGAACAAGGATGGAATGCTGAAATCGGCACATATTTCTTTCTTCTTTTTTGTTTTCATATTTTATGTTCTATGGTACATGTGCACAACGTGCAGGTTTGTTACATATGTATACATGTGCCATGTTGGTGTGCTGTACCCATTAACTCGTCATTTACATTAGGTATATCTCCTAGTGCTATCCCTCCCCCTTCACCCTACCCCACGACAGGCCCCGTGTGTGATGTTCCCCTTCCTGGAAATCGACACGTATTTCTAAACAATGAAATACTGCCTGTAGTGGGCTAAGTGTTGTGCATGATCCTCATTATGCTTGTTTTGAGAAATACTAAAAATTACTTTTTTTTTTCAGAAAGAAACAACAGATGTGTAGGAAATGCAATACCTGGGAAAACTGAACTGAAATTTCCATTATATGAATTCTAAAAGCCTTGAAAATTAGTTTATTTAAATAATCCAACTACAAGGAACTTATGCACTTGCAAAATAGGTATAATCAACAATATTCATTCAATTTTTATTAAATAAGTAATATTATTTTAAATTTACTTTGTTTCGAAACAGGGGAGAAGTCTTATTTCATTTTCAGGTTTGTTAATATCCTCAATATCCACATGATGTCTTATGATATGAATGAACATTTTAAGGCGTTTTTAAATGTAAAAATTTGTCATTAGATTCAATATGGGGGTCATGTTTTGTTAAATTGAAATGGAAAAAAATTATTTTACCACATATGTGTCATGAAATGATGATAAAATATAGAATTCTGTGCAGATTTTATAAAAAGATGCTTTTACCTTGTGACCTTACTACATTTTCTTGAGTATTTTTTAATTATATTTTTATGAATTCATTAAAGCAAATGTTCAAATGTATACAAGCACATTTTCTGGATTTAGGATGTCCTATACTGAGTGAATTAATGGACCATAATTTTGTTGTTCATTCTCACTGTGCCTTCAGACTTAGACTTGACACTTGCTTTGGATATTGACCATTGTTCGTCTCAACACCAGAAAAAGTTTGGGAGAGCACTTGTATGTTCCTGCTTGCTTGCTTGTGCCTCTGCCACCCTGAGGTCATGCTCAGGCTAGCCTGCTGAAGGGTAAGAAATGCATGGAGCAGAGTCAAATTGTCCCAATTGTCCCAGCTAACGTCAGCTGCCAGATCCACCGACAGCCAGACGTGTGAGCAATCAGGCAAGATTAGTTCCTAGCTAACCACCCTAGATAAGTAAATGATTTATTATTATACGCCACTTTGGTCTTCCAAGAATTGTTTTTGTTGTTGTTCTTGTTATTTGGTTTTATAGTGTCAATGGATAATGAATATCAAAATATTCACACACAGAAAATGATGGTGTTAATTTTATTTGGAAACTTCTTCCTTCTTTCAGGGACCCTGTAACCTTATACCATTAAATCATGAGAACGGCATTTTTTTCTAAAGAACCTGGCAATAATTGATTCAAGCATGATTCAACTCCATTAAATTAACTTGAAAAGATCACAATAGCAGTTAGAGAATTGGCAGTGTCCTTTCTGTGTCCTGATAGTGAACCAAAATTTGACCTCATCAACTGTTCTATTGATATCCCAGATGAATTATCTGAAGTATTTTCCCTATGGATTTCTCTTCAGTTTGTTTTCTAAGAGGTTTTAGGAATTCATTAGCAATGATTAAAGAAAAATCTGCCTATTTTCACTTACAATGTCTGACTTTATCCTAGCAATTTATGACCCCTTAAACTTAGAATTCATTGAAAAAGGCATAAGTAAAAGCTTGATTTCTCCTTTCTTCCCAAGGTTATACCATATGAAACATATTTTGTAACAGTATACTAGATCACTACAATGCCCTCCTAAAATGTATACGTATCTATCTGAGTTTCATCCTTAATACCATATTCTAATCTTTAAATTTAAAAATATATGTCAATTATCCTCAAAGGGTTCGATTCAATGCAGTGGCCCAGAAATGGGATATAAATTTTGAATAATATTTAGAGTTATTAAAATATGAACCTTTGAATTTGCACACACACACACACACCTGTTCTACGCATTGTGGTATGTATTTTGTATAGGTCTATAAGTAAGGTTGGCTAAATAATGGCTCCCAAATATATCTACATAGTAATCCCTCGAACCAGAGAATGTTACCTTTATGGTACAAAAAGGACTTTGCAAATGTGATTAAGGAATTTGAAAGGCAAATATTATGCATTATTCAGGTAGACCTGATATAGTCACAAGCCTCCTTATAAGAGGGGTGCTGGAGGAATCAGAGGCAAAGACCAAGGTGATAGAATGACTGAAGTAGAGGTTGGAGTTCCAACCTCTTCAAAGTTGTTGCAACTACTCTGAAGGTGGAATAAGAAGCTACAGAAAAATACTTATGGCCGCCAGAAGCAGAAAAGTGGCAAAAAAAATAAATTCTCTCATCAGAGCCTCTAGAAGACACCAGACTTTTTAACACCTGAACTTTAGTTGAATAATACCAGTTTTGTACTCCTGACCTTCAGAATGGTAAGAGAATACATTTGTGTTGGTTTAGACCCTTAAGTTTGCAATAATTTAATTTGTTGCAGCAGCAATAGGAACAAACACATGGTGTGGAGAGTTTGTAAATGTATCACCTGCTGTTCTAAGGTAGTGTTTAATCTTTTTTTAAAATTTTTTTTCAGGCCTTAGTTGTCTCTGGGTCTAACATTCTAGTACTGAGCTTTCAAGTGTTTAGACAGGAAACTCATTTCTTTTTAGTCTTTATAATATAAACTGATAAATACGACTCAGCATATTCTGACCTGACCTGATCAGAGATTCATAAATTTGAGTCGAATCCCAACATAGTTTTTGAAGCTGCAAATATTATTGTTTAGAGTTCTTCATGAATTAGGGTCAGAGAGAGAAGTCAGCCTCCCTAGTTCTCTGGTAGTAACCTTAGAATTTAGGTTTGTCACAGGTTATCTTAGTTGAGAGATCACTGACCTATTTATTCATGATTCTCATCAAATTGTTTTTTCTATGTGCAAATGTTCTATTTATTCCATGTTTGTCATGAATTTGTCATTAATTCTACAAGTTTTCTACACACTGTATGAAGCATCATTTTTTAATGACTTTAATCTTTCTCCAAATTGCTCCCTTTGATTTTACTATGCTATTATCTAGGAAAGAAGCCTGTGTTCTTCAACGTAAAATCTTTTATGCAACTTGACCATTTTTCTACTTAGTCTTTTCTTTACTAAACCATAGCTAAAAGGTTTTTAAACTGAATTCATAAGCTTATGTCTTTCCATATACCTGTAGAGTCCTTTGTACTTCACACACACACACACACACACACACGCAAGTTCCAACTTTATGTTTTCATTGTTAAGTACAGTGATGTTTGGACAAAACTATGCATTTGGCAAAATGTGCCTGTATTGATTTTGCATTATTTTATTAAGACATTATGTTTTTCTCTTCTAAATCTCAGGTCTCCTTTAACACCGATCATTGGCTTCATTTCAGAGTGATCCTATTGTTTGAATCAACTTTGTGTAAAGATATGAGTTTATCTCTAATAAATTATTCTGTTGGCCAAAAACCACAAGGGATCTCCAAGGAAGTCATTAGATTTTAAAGAAAAGCATTGTCATAAACTGCTTTCAAGTTGAAATAAAAATAACTTCACAACGAATCACATGTGTGAAGCAGGGTGTTTTGGATACATTTCCTCTGTCTCAAAGCCTGAAACCTCTTCAAAAGTTCATGTAACTGAACCTATTCTCTTTGTGGTAGCCTAAAATACTTTGTATGTCTGTGGGAATTCTCCAAGAATTAGCTGCATGTATATAGTGAAAGGATTTTCAGTGCACTTAACGATTAATTCAAAGTCACTGCATGAAAATGCCTTTAGGTGAAAACAAAACATTGTCCTTTATCGTGTGTGTAATACTGAGCATGTACTCAGAGTTGGCCTACTTATGAACTTACTTTACATGTTGCTCCTTGAATTATCTCTTAGTGCTTTGTTAATTTTCTCATTCAATGAATGCAGACAAGTGTATGAGGGTTTTTCAAAAAATTCCATTAGGAATTACAAATAAATATTTCAAATACAGGTCAAAATTGAAAACTAGTATTTTTCACTTTGCAACTTTCAAATTCTTTATAACTTCTAACAAGATACTACAGAACTTTTTGTTAACAAGAGTGCCAATATCAACACATAGTAAGTTTGATGATATAGTAGGAAAATTCTTCTTGACAAATTCCAGTTCTTAAAACAAAGACACCGTAACTAATTATTTATCCTTCTGGGACTTCCCAGATCCTGAGCTCCTAATATGATGTCTTGTCCCACCAAAAAATATTAACCTAAAATCCAAGTATTTATGTTTAACACAAATTATATGCAGGGTTGGCATTTTATGAAGCTCAGTATCTTCTCTTTCATGAATTAACACCCAGTAACTTTTGGTTTTCAATTCCTCTTGGCCATTATTTTACGGAAATAAGTGCAGTCTGTTAAGAGCTTTGTTTACAGTCTCATGGTTTGGTAAGCAAAGGTTGTTACAACAGAGAACAGCTTTTTATAAAGACAAAGAAGAAAGAGAAAATTGTAGATACAGGAAGAGTCTAGTTTTTATTGTTACTTTTGTGGTGGTGGTGGTTGTAATTGAAGCAGTATCAAGCTGATTCAAAAAAGGGGAGAAGAAGATTTACGGCTAGAAATAAATTCTAGAGATTACTCTTCTTATTCGTCTTCTGTTCTCTTTTGACCAAAATTCCTAGAGGATATGATCTTGCTGGTTACCAAGCTGTTCTAGCTAAATGTGTGGTTAGGTGAAATTAGAGATGAATAAATGTAAGGCCAATGATAAGAGTGAGTTAAAGAAGTGTACTATTATGGATAGAGATTATTGAGAAGGACACTATATTTTTCTTGTTACAGGATAATGTTTTTGAATTTACCAATATGCTAGTCTTCTGCCATATTGAATGATTCTAAAATAGATACACATTCAAAACACATCAAAATGTGTACTTAGACTTTTGGCACAATAATGATTTAATAATATAAATAAGTATTCTAAACCTTATGGCCTCATGGCCTTAAAACTTTAGAAGTAAGCAACTATTCCCTTTTCAGATATCATGTAATCAAGCAACTTTACAAAATAAGTTACATTTTTACCTATGAAACGTTTGTGCTAACGATTATTCTTCACTACTCACGCCAAATTTGAACATCTAGTGCACTCAGAATTTGAGTTGTACACATCGAATACACTAAATAGATTACTTCTTCAAAGAATCCATTAAAACCATAGATCACACACAATATACACATTAGTAACAAAGGCACCTATGGGGCCAACTGTGTTTACCTGTATTGGAATAAATTACAATGTTTGGCAAATATTATCTAAAGAAATATCCCTAATGATATCCTTTAAGAGTATACTGTTAAAAACAAGTTAACATGAAAAATAAATGAGCTAGAAAAGCTATTATTTTAAATTACTTCGGTTTTCAAATGCTACATAAGAAATACTGGCCTAACAATTAATATGCATATGTTTCTTTTTTCACATAGTTTTAAAAGAACAGAAATTTGCATTTAATGTGCATAACTAAAGTTGGACATTTTAACTATTTTGATGTTTTGAATAGAATCCTATAAACATGACAGAAAAGAAGCAATTTAATGTTTTAATTCAGAGCACAATCTTTGGCACCAACCTATTTAAGTTCAAGTCCTGACACTGCCACTTTCTACCAGGGTGTCTTTGTAATATTGGATAATAAAATAACTTGAGCCAAAATGTATTACAAGAAAGAAATTTGACATAAAGTACTTAGAACAGTGATGTACACTAAACTCTATGAAAGTGTTTGTTATTATTTTTGTTGGTACTTTTTTTGTAACATTTCCATGCTTAGTTTTCAGTTTTATATTCAATTTGTAAAAATTTGCAACTTAAAACACCCCAAAATATTACCTGTGTTGCTGAGATGTGCTGTTAACATTAGCTTGGTAACTATTCTCCAAACTCAAATAGTATCCATTCAGATTGTAATGTGTCACCATTGGTTCACTAGGGAGCTGTTTGAAAAGAACAAGAGAAATACCACTGTTCACGAACCTTTGCTCATAAATGTAAACAGCAGCACCCTAGTATAGCTCTGTCTGTTAAAGAACCAGGGCTGAATTACCTGTTACATGAACAGACCGTGAATTCAAGCTCACTAATCCATTCTAATGAGGGCTCTATCCTCATTAGTTAAAACAAAAAGGAATAAGATATAACAGCACCCACAGATCTAAATAGCATTTTAAATTCTTTATAAATCTAATTTTTATCAATGTGTATGTTAAATCTAGATTGACTTGCTGAACATAACAAAAAGATACATGAGTATGACATGGATTATAAATCCTGAAAGCCCATTTGTTTTGCTTCTCCTCCCTTTTTAATAGCCTTTATAGGATTTCTACAGTCGTGTCTTTCTTATTGCTACCGTACATATATTAAACTTTCATGAATCACATGCCAAAGAGGCACTGCTTTGTAATTTAAGTAAGGCTTTAGAATGAAGAGTGGCATATTAGTATAATTGTTCTGTGTAATGCAGTGCAGGGTAATTGGTAAAACTCACTCAAAGATTTTCATATAATCCAATCAAGATTTATTAGGTTTGTGCAAAAGTCATCGCAGCTTTTGCCGTTACTTTCAAGGGCAAAAAAATGCAATCGCTGTTGCACCAACCTAATACTAAAATACTATTAGTCCATTTACACTGTCCTTTATATTATACCTCATGCCTACAGAGTTTTAAACTTATACTTCTTCCTCTCTTTCTACTAAAGCATTCTAAAATCAGGTGGCCTATTTGTTTGTTCAAAGTTTTGACAACCAACTAATGTTTTACAGAGAATCTTCTACTAGTCCTCTCTGCAAATGAGGAAAAAAACATAAAATTAATAAGTAATACATTTTTATAGCACTATTTTTAAAGCTATATATTTAGTTCACAGAACTGTCGTATTATCAGATTATACCTATGCTTTTATTGGTATAGTAAATGTGACAAGTGATAGTAGACAATTTTTTCGATAATGTTCTTCACAGACAAGAAAGAAAAATCAAAATAAAAAATCTCTGACAATTATCTAGGTCAGTTTACTCATTTTTTTACTTATAAGACTGTGATATCTAACTGCTGTAGGTGAAGTAGAAAATTAATAAGTTTTCGCATATTGTAAATGTTCTCAATTGGTATGCTGAAGTTCACTGCTGTTTCAAAACCTTTTCCAGCTGACCTACGGATTTTGACAAACTAGAGTTTAAACTGAGGAAGACAAAAAACGCATTTGTAGAGAAACTTTAATATTATTTCAGGTATGAATCTAGTCATGCACAGTCACCTCAATTTGGGTCCAAACAAATAGCGCATTTTTAGTAATAGAAACGAGAACATTGCCTCATGTGCACATATTGAGTGTGTAATCAGGTTAGTAAAAATTCAAGCAGTTACTCAATGCTGAAGTGACTGAATAAAGAGTGTAGTATCTCTGCACAGCAAAGGAAACAGTCAACAGAGTTAGAGGCAGCTTACAGGATGGGAGAAAAGAGTTTCAAATGATACTACTTATAAGGAGTTAATATCCAAAGTGTATAAGGAACTCAAACAATTTAATAGCAAGAAAACAACCTGATTTTTTTTAAAAATGGAAAAATGACTCAAATAGACATTTTTTCAAAATAAGACATACCAGTTGTCAACAAGTATATTTAAAAATGCTCAATATCACTAATTATCAAGGAAATACAAATTGAAACCACAATGAAGTATCACCTCACACTTGTTAGAATGGCTACTATCAAAAAGACAAAAGATAAGTGTTTACAAGCACGTGGAGAAGAGAAAACCTATTTACACTGTTCGTGAGAACGCAAATTATTTCAGCCCTTATGAAAAGCAGTATGGAAGTTCCTCACAATATTAAAATTAGAACTACCATATTAACTCAGCAATCACACTTCTGGGTATATATCTAAAGGAAATGAAATCGATATGTTAGCTGAGTATGGTGGCTGAAAACCATAAGTCCAGAACTTCGGGTGGCTGAGGTGGAAGAATTGCTTGACGCCAGGAGTTTGAGACCAGCCTGGGAAGCATAGCAAGATTCTGTCTCTAGAAAAATAAAAATTCAAAAATAGTCAAGTAGGGTGGCATGAACCTGTAGTGTTAGCTGCTGGGAAGGTTGAGGCTCAAGCATCCCCTAAGACCAGGAATTTGAGGCTACAGGGAGCTATGTTCATACTACTGCACCCCAACCTGGGTAACAGAGTGAGACCCTGTCTCTAAAAAAAAATTATGTCAGAAAGAGATTTGCATTCTCACATTCAAATATTCATTGCAGCATTATTCGCAATAACCAGGATATGGAATCAATCTAAATGTTCATCAACTGATGAATGGATTTTTGAAATGTGTCATTTATATGCAACATTTCAAAATGTTCCTTATATTTGGCTTTTAAAAGGAAGGAAATGTTGTCACTTGTGACAACATGGATGAACCTGAAGGACGCTGTGTTAAATGAAATAACCCTGGCACAAAAAGACAAGTATTCCTTGATTTCGCTCCTATGTGGAATCTAAAACAGTTTAATTCACAGAAGTAGAAACTAGAATGGTGGTTACCAGGGGTTGGTGAAGAGGGGACTGTAGAGATGGCAATCAAAAGACAAAGTTTCAGTTACCCAGGAGGACTAAGCTCTGGAGACCTATTTTACTGAGTGGTGACTATAGTTAACACACACTTGAAAATTTTAAATGTCCTCACCACAAAAAATAACTACATGAGGGGATCAATGTGTTAGCTTGATTTAAACCATTTCTCAATGTCGATGTATATCAAAACATTATATTATGCACATAAACATATACAACTTTTATTTGCCCATTAAAAAAATAAAACAGTGAAAAATCTGTAGATATATTTATGGAAGCCGAAAGATGAGTTATTTAATTATAATAATTTTTGTCTTTTTGTAAATAAATTTGTTCAATAATACTCCATTCATACAATGATGTTAACATTTCATAGGATATCATTTCTATAAATGATTTGAGTATCATTGCTCTACTCCATGCATGTGCATATGTATGTGCATGTCTTAAGGCAACCACAAAATAGTTCTACACATAATACTCAAATACATACATATAGACTAATTGCCATTCATATATTAGGGTGCTAAAACACACAGATACAAAGGAAGATAGGCAAAAAGTTACGCACAGGTCATCCTTTGCATCTCAGAAAGCACAGCACGATTAAGGCATTCACACTGCTCTGTAGATATAGGTGTAGACAATAACAATATTCTAGGTGTGTATTACAGGGATTATAGTTTCTTCAAAACATTGGCTAAGTTTATTCTCTAGACTGGGTGAAGAGATATATGAATATGTGTCATTCATTGAAATATGTAAGGGTCTAACTGCCAGATGAAAACAGAAAATTAAATGTTAATTCTTGCTTTTCTAATTTTAAAGTAAATAAATGAACAAACCTGGCTGTCATCCAGGAATAATATAAGCTATAAATACAAGTGGAAGCAGAATCTGGAAAAAGCAGTTTAACTTCCCATTCTCTATTACCACCCTCACTATACACACACATAAGCATTTGCACACAGAATGATGAGCAAACAAAACCCACAAACATATACACATAGCTGTATAAAGAGCCTCTAACCTTTGCAACCTGAAAAAGTTGGAAGAAAAAGGGGAAAAGATGCTCAAATCACTGTCAACAGGCATGCAGTTTCTGCCCCAACCCCGAGATTAAATCCGCTTCCTAGATAACCAGCCCTCCAGGAAATTTGGGGAATTAAGGAAAGAAAAGACCTATATCCTGTTTCCTTTCTGGAATTCTGGGCAGTGGCAGCCTCTCAGGCTTTCCCTATATTACGATGGCATGAAATCAACAAGCAGACATGGCTGTGTGGCAGACTAGTGTGTCAGAGTGGCAATGTATGACTTTCAAGAAGCACTATCGAGTTTCTGGTAATCCTCTGAGAAGAAGAGTGAGTGACCATATTTTCAGATGTTACCAAGGGTAACATACAGAAAAAACTGCTAAAGTAGCTGGCATATTTGAGTTGCACTGTGATTGTGCAAGAGTAGGCCCCAAGAGATGCAGAATGAAAATTAAAATGTATGATAAGATGAGGATGAACATATTTCAGTGTTAATTGTATAGTAAGGTAAGGAGAGATGAGAATTACATACAATTTAATTGTGTGTTTTTTTTTCTTTTTTATCTCAGGTGATGTAAGTTTGGAAAGATATTGCCCAAAGACCAGACACATGTATCTGAATGTATAACACCAACCCAGGGAAAAGGACAGAGGGGAAAATAAATTTAGAATTTCTTACTTCAGATTAAATGTTTCAAACTGAAAGGAAATACCGTTTTTTGTTTTGTTTTTGTACTACCTATGTTAATTACATTTAATTTTAAAACACAGATGAGAAACCAAAATGAGGTAATTTTTTATATTTTAAGTTTATTTATGGAAAACTGGAATTCGGAGAAAAAGTCAGAAAACCAATATTCATATCTTTTAATAAAAGAGCCTACTCAGCAATAAACCTTTAGAAGTATAATCAAAAAATTTAAACACAGATGTGTCATTAATTATGTTATACATTCTGCTGTTTAGCTTATAAATTGTAAGCAAAACAATATTAATGGGACACTAAAAACTACAAATAAATAACATGAAAATATGTTTAAAAATAAAATTATCTGATTAGAATTAATTTGTAGGGACTGTATAATATGAAAAAAACATTTTAAATGTCTAGAAGCTATTTTATTGAGTTCAGTTCTAAATTTTCAGATTCCCCTTTTGGTTACTTTTTATTAGAGGGGGGCACATAATCAACCATTATTTTATCTGATTAATTGTTTTACTTGTCATTGATCACATTGCTAATTATTTTCATTTCAACAAGTTTAGGGCATTTAGTTAAAGACCAGTTGCACAGCAAGATTTAAAACTCTAGACAGCATACCTTAGAGCACCTTGAAAAGAGCATTACCTCCAGAGTTTTGTCATTCACTGCTAAACAAGGAGCCCAGCATGCCTGGATTATGTCAAGAGAAGAGAACCCAACCCAATATGACACATTAAGAACCACATATAAGGAGACAACTGAAATATCTATGTTTTCCATGATAATTTTCATCATGTTAATAATTCCAAGATATATTTAGATCTATAAGCATAATATTCTTCTTTGAGAAGCTAATATTTAAACTCAATGATATGCCACATAGTTTAACCATAGTCAATAGGCACAATAGAACTTTTCTATCATGATTCAAGAACCCATTTAATTTCTTCTTCCAGAAAGCCAGAAGACTGGTTGTCCAGAGTTCAGATCATTAAGTAGTGACTTGGGAAGATGTTATAGAAAATCCAAATGTACACATTAATAATGAGACTAAGTATATGTTTCAGTCTCTTGCAGTAATAAGCCATATTTGTTTATAACAGATTCTATGATTGGTTTATTATTTCCAGATGAATGGAACAGCCACCATCACTTCAATGAAAGGGAAGTCTGCAAACTCCACGTGTGGAAGAATGAAAAGTCACGAGAGATAAGGGAAAATATTTGGTGAAGGTAGTAGAAGGTATTCTAAAATTTAGCCTATTATAATAGAACCTTAATTTTTGTCCACTTTCCCAGAAGATTTAGAATAGCATTAGCAGCACCTTTTTTACAGCAACACATCTTCATGAACTCATGGATGATGTTTGTAGTAAAGTGACTACTTCTAATGCTAGCAAATAAGCAGATACATTTCAAGGAAGGACACCAAATCTAACACCTTCTTCAACAAATTTTTTTTCTGAGATTAAGAGGATTATGACCAGAATATTTTCATAACCCATTATATAGCTGTTGGTATTACTCTATTTTCACACTGCTATAAGGAACTGCCTGAGAGTAAATAATTTATAAAGAAAAGAGGTTTAATTGATTCACAGTTTCACATGGCTGGGAAGGCCCCAGGAAATTTACAATCATGGCAGAAGGGAAAATAGGCATGTCTTACATGGAGGCAGGTAAGGCAGGGGTGGGTGGAACCTGCCACTTATAAAACCATCAGAGCTCGTGAGAACCCATTCACTATCATAAGAATAGCATGGGGGAAACTGCCCCCATGATCCAATCACCACCCACCAGGTCCCTCCCTCCACAGGTGGGGATTGCAATTCAGATTTCAATTTGAGGTAACATTTGAGTGAGGACATGGCCAAACAATATCACTGTTTATACAGTCAATCTGCAGGTTTCTGGAGGGTCACTTACTTTAGACCCAGATTTTGTGCCTTTCTCCTAGAACCTTTAACCACTCCCTGGAATCATCTTTCTGTCTATCCTGTCTTCCAAAATACTTACTTTGTTACATATTGTGGGTTACTGGGGAAATATAAGCTGGACATATTTTCTTTCATTCCGCACAAATTGTGGCCAGTTTATCCGATTTTACTAGGTGAACATCTTATTTTTACCAGATTATATCTCCTGGATTTTAGAGTTTGATACATTGCAGAGGTTTTCGTCATCTTAATTTGACCTAAAATCTTGTGGCTTTCTAATAGAATCCTTGAACCCAATGAACCCATCCTTATGTCTTATAATAGACTACTTTATAAAAATATCAGTCAGTGTGGTTTGTGTAGTATAATATGATGCCAAAATACTTCTCTTTCATAAACTTATAAATAAAAATGTTTTCAGAATTACCCATCATAGGAGGTTCATGGAGAAACCTTATTAAAGACCTACTCAGTTTCAAGATAATTAAGTATATTCAATACATGAAGCCTAGTTAAATTATATAAAAGTAATTCAGTTTCAGAATATATTGGAATCCACTGTCTGTACTAGCCAATGGATCCTAAGAATGATTTTAATTTTATTTTGATGGATAGATTTGAATAGCCCTCTCTTTAAACTCTGCTTGGAGAAGTTTCTTAGTATCAGAGAAGTAAAAAACTAAAGACCTCTTATCAAATCAATGTGTATCTACAAGGAAACTAATTACTTGCTACTCTTCTTGTTTAAAATTGAGGGAAAAACATATGATGGGGCTGACTCATTGATGTTCAAGGGTATTTGGTTCTACCATGTGAATTTGTATAACACTTGATATCCATATCAATTGTAACATTAAGTAAATGAAAACATACTGTCAGAGTAAAATCTTTGCTTCAGGTGGCACTAAATAGAATATACTGAGGTTTCAAACCATTGGCAAACAATATTGATTGTTTTGCTCATAGCCCATAGGAATTATACAAATTATACTCTTCCGCAGTAAACCTTCTTACCAGAGAATAATCTATTACAAGGACGGCACAAAATTTTCTTAAAAAGTGTTTATAATGTGTCTGAGACCTCCTCTGACTTCTACTTTAGTAGGATAATCAAGTAACTTAGTCAATAATTTGAGACGATAATTCAGATTTCTAAGGGTTTTGCTCCTATTATCTTACCCATGTTGTTGAAACATGAATGAGGCTAATTTTATACAGAAGTAATTGTTTTTATTAGTCTTAGAGGACAGGTTTACCAGTAATGGTTATTGCTTAACTGATAATGACATTAGTTAATTTTGAGTGCTAATTTTCTAGCATGCATTCTACAATTTCATGTATTTATTTTAGTTATTCCAAATCAATGATTTTTCATGCTAATTTAAATTTTTAACTAGGTCAGTTACAGTACTTTTTTTTTTTTTTTTTTTTTGAGACGGAATTTCGCTGTGTCACCCAGGCTGGAGGGCAGTGGCGCAATATCTGCTCACTGCAAGCTCTGCCTCCCAGGTTCATGCGATTCTCCTGCCTCAGCCTCCTGAGTAGCTGAGACCACAGGCACCCGCCACCACGACCAGATAATTTTTTGTATTTTTAGTAGAGACGAGGTTTCACCGTGTTAATCAGGATGGTCTCGATCTCCTGACCTTGTGTTCCACCGTCCTCGGCCTCCCAAAGTGCTGGGATTACAAGCATGAGCCACTGCGCCCGGCCTACAGTACATTTTTTTAAACTTTTATTTTAAGTTCACAGATACATGTGCAGGTTTGTTATTAGGTTGTTGCAAAAGTAACTGCAGTTTTTGCCATTATTTTTAACTCCTATTACTTCTGTGCCAACCTAACACATAGACAAATTTGTGTCATGGGTTTTGTTGTGAAGACTATTTTATCACCCAGGTACTAAGCCTAGTACCTATTTGTTATTTTTCCTGATCCACTCCCTCCTCCCACTCACCACCTTTCAAAGTTCCAGTGTTTGTTGTTTCCCTCTGTGTCCAGGTGTTCTCATCATTTAGCTTAAACTTATAAGTGGAATTATGCAGTATTTGGTTTTCTGTTCCTACATTAGTTTGCTAGGGTTAATGACTTTCAGCTCTATCCATGTTCCTGCAAAGGACATGATCTAGATTTTTATGGCTCCATAGTATTCCACGGTGTATATGTACCACATTTTCTTTATCTAGTCTAACATTAGTGGCCATTTAGGTTGATTCTATGTCTTTGCTATTGTGAATAGTGTGGCAATGAATATGCACATGCATGTGTCTTTTTAATAGAATGGTTTATATTCCTGTATTATTCTGTTTTCACTCTGCTGATAAAGACATACCTGAGACTAGGCAATTTACAAAAGAAAGAGATTTAATGCACTCATAGTTCCACGTGGCTGGGGAGGTCACACAATCATGGCAGAAGGTGAAAGGAATGTCTTACATGGCAGCAGACAAGAGAAGAGAACTTGTGCAAAGAAATTCCTCCTTATGAAACCATCAGATCTCGTGAGACTTATTCATTATCATGAGAACAGTACAAGAAATATCCACCCCCATAATTAAATTACCTCCAACCGGGTCCCTCCCACAACACATGGGAATTGTCGGAGTTACAATTCAAGATGAGGTTTCAGTGGGAACAGAGTCAAACCATAAAATTTGCCCCAGCCTCTCCCAAATCTCATGTCCTCACATTTCAAAACCAACCATGCCTTCCTAATGGTCATCCAAAGACTTAACACATTTCAGCATTAACTCAGAAGTCCACAATCCAATATCTCATCTAAGACAAGGCAAATCCCTTCCACCTATAAGCCTGTAAAATCAAAAGCAAGTTAGTTACTTCCTAGATACATTAGGGGTACAGGCATTGGGAAAATACAGCTGTTCCAAATGGGAGAAATTGGCCAAAATAAAGGGGCTACAGGCCCCATAAATGTTTGAAATCCATCAGGGCACTCAAATCTTAAAGCTCCAAAATGATCTCCTATGACTCCATGTCTCACATCCTGGTCACGCAAAGGGCCACAACCAGCTGCTTTCATGGGCTAGCACTGAGTGTCTATGGCTTTTCCA